GATGTAATAGTTACTATATATTCAAATTGTGTTGCACAAACATTTCCATATGGATGAGACTATGTTGAGTTACACGGCATCGTTTAATTCATCGGATGAGGTAAAGTTTTTCCCTTTATAAAAAGGAGGCTTCTACAAAATTATAAAACAAAAATTATTTATTTTCTAGTTATGGAGTTACATAAAAATTTTGTCAAAGAGGAGCGAAGCATCAAGGTTTCTATAAAGACTTTTCTAAAGCCATGCCGGTATATCTAGAGTATATTATTATTATTATTATTTTTTTTTCAAATAACTGTTGACTAAAATTTCTGTACAATGCTACAGAAGGACCGGACGGAGGAAACAGCGATATCTGCAACAACCGAACGGGATCCACGATGGATAGAAGTGGAAGTAGATGGTACGAGGATTCCAGCAAACACAATGGTGGATGGCCTGTGTATCTTTTACTCGATAAACATCCAAGTCCCGAGAAAATTAATGACTCTCGAGAAACAAACAAAATACCTATTCAAACATCTAAACCAACTGTCAAGTTGGATAATGCTCTTGGAAGGAAATCCTATGTATCGTCCCACAGCGTTAACAATCTCGTGGAAGTCAGACCGTCAGAAACACCGCCAGAGAGTGAGGAAGATTTCGTTCGGAGCATCGTTGATAGGATCTTCGAATGTCAAAAAAATGATATTGAAGATACGAAAGGACTTCGACACAAGGAACCTGCAAATTCTTCCACGGGACAAGAACGGGAATCTGTTGGTGGCGTTGGCACCCTGGGATTACGGCAACTGTGCGGAAATCAACTCGTGGCGTCACCTGTCACAGTGGAGGCAAGACCTTCCCATGAGGACGCGAACAATTTGTACGAATTCACAAGAAACAATGTCACCATGTGTCAATTGTCAGACGATGATGCAATACAATACGAGGAAGAGAATTTGCCCAAGCTTCTTAATTTATTGAAAAATAACTATCCATTTCGTGAAGTGACAAACAAAGATAATATTTTGCGTAATGATGAAATTGAAAGGTTCACTGAACTTTATAATATTACTAATGTTTACCCAGTGTTTTCATGTTATGATTCGATTTTCTGGTTAAAAGATCCTGATGGCGTTATCTACCTGTGGTCTCGTACAGATGAAATGATGATACGTGGAGGAGGTGATATGAAAGAGGCTTTAATTAATTATCTCTTTCACCAGGAAAATCTTTGCTATATCAATGAGTATACACATGAATTGATACCAATAAAAGAGGCTGAAGATAAAGCTAATAAATGGTATGAAGAGGCTAAAAAAACTGCAACTAAATTTGTGATAAATGATGAGTCACTAAAACCGTTAAAAGAAAAAAAGAAAGAAACAAAAAAAGGTGGGAAACAAAAGAAGCGACAAAAAAGAAAAAATAAACATTAATACAGAAATTATTTGATTTATTTACCATTTATTTTATAGTATTTGCTTATTTAGCCTTTTCTTTTAAAAATCAATTCTTTTAATAAAGATATATGCGAATTTAAATACTCGAAGCCCAATATGGCAAAGTTTTATGTAATATAACATATTAGCAACAGTATATGACATGCTTTCAAGGGAGTATCCTAGGCTATTTAATGCGAGCCCTTAATTCATTGCTATCTTACATTTCGGAAAATTTCTATTTCTACTAACTACGAGATTCTTATACACCAGATCTCCGATCCCCAGTATAAACGCCTGAGTTGGCAAGAAATAAAAAATAAAATAGTCCTGCAGGATCACTCTAGCCATTATACTTCATTTTCATAATATACCATTCTGCACTGTAATCAAAAGATTCATTTCCCAGTGCTATATATTACGCCTGACTTTTGCATTATCACATCATAAGTGCAACCGGTGAAGAATCTTCACGATCAAAAATCATGCGAAATTTTTGCCAATCGTTAAGAATCGTGACGGAAATTTGCCGAGAAAAATTTTATTAATACGTTCACTTAAAATAATTTTTTCAAATGTAAACGGGTTTTGCCAAGAAAATTTTTTATTAATACATGCAATAAAATAAATACAAAGTTCAAGACGTAGCCTATGATACATGACAATTTTATTTTTCTATGCTAATTTCTATACATACGATTATTTTTTTTCGAAAAAGATAAGACTATATTATTTATTTTCTGTTTTTACCTGCTTCAATGATTCCTGCGATTCAATCTGGCGATCAAACACCCACTTAATTTGCCTGAACAAGTCCTTGATAGATTCTACCAAATCGTCATGGGTCAATATAGCCTTGTTGATTGGTAATGGAGAAGGAGACAACGAACTTAACAATACATCCACTTTTCCTTCACTGTTATTATCGGAGTTGGACGAAACTAGCTTGATTATTATCCAATCCACAGCAGTTGATACAATCCCGTACATTACGTCTTCCTGCAAACCTGCTGTATTATAAGTTCATTTTTTAGGATTGTGCTGGATGGATGTCTGCAGTTGGATCGCATTCTGTGCAATTCCTTAATTGATGTCCTCTTTTTTCGCCTCGGTGATTGTGATAATGATATTCCCTATCTTTATAACCCAATCAACAGGACCTTTGTCGTGACTTCCTGAGATTTCATACTGAGGATAAACCTTTATTTCACCTCCATATATCGACGTCACACCATAAATGATACAGGAAATATATTCACAACGGGTAGCCTCGTTGGCACTAGTGATGTGTTGGGATGTCTTGTGCAGTCTCAAAAATTCACCTATAACCAAATTTCGGATATCTTCTGGCATATCCTTAACAACTCTAACAAAAGTAGGTAATTCATTATAATCATCTGCCTTCAAGCTGAAGAGTGTCTTCATCTTATTAAACCTCCACAAAGAGAATGGTTGTTGAGCTGTTGTAGAAATACAAGATTAAAGCTATTAGTATCTGTTGCGTAAATATCACAAAGAAATATGGCTAATATTAAACATTACTTACATATGTCTACGACAACTGGGAGGTCTACTTTGAATCCCTGAGACCAGATTATACATGCCAAATCCTCATCATCGACCAAATGAATACATTCCTTTTCACTCTCATGATTTATGACAATATGCTCATCTTCAGTTCCATCTGAGAAAGTAAAACAAGTTTGAAGTCTCATCTTCAAAGCTAACAAAGTTATTTGTTCACGAGTTACTGTTCACAAAAATTTTTTGACTTATAACAACCATACATTATGATACAATATACCTCTTTCATTTTAATAGGACGTTATATGATGATATATATGTATTTGTCGGCTAGTTAAGAGGAAAAGTGCTTGCTAATTTTTGAAAAGCAATTTCAATTCTTCATCTTCAAATTCCTTCTTAATATTAACGTTTATTTTTGTTAACAAGTTTAAGTTTTTCATTTTTTTCTTCAAAGTAAATGTTGATCTTCTATAGTCTAATATCATTAGAGAAAACGTTCTCAAACTTAGAGTGAAGCTTTTCCTTAATAACTTTCCTAAGCAACACTATAGTTTTTATTTGACTGATATCTATAACAACTTATTGTAAAGGTTTTCTCTTGCAACCAAACAATTGAATATGATAGTTAATATAATGCTTTTATAGGGATATTTAGCTCAGACAAAAAAATAGTATTATATTCCAGAATGAGATAAAATTTATTTTTGTTTGGAAAAGAAAATACTGTGCATTAATATAGATTTTTATATAGTACAGGCATTGCATCATCAAATGTGACCTACTTTCTTGATGTACTAGTAAAATAATACTTTATTTATGAACTAAATCATTGCTGAAAACTGGCTTATAAACATAAAAATTGCGACTATATTGCTACATTATATGAATAAAAAATACTATTTATTCTTAGATTTTATGAGAATATAAATTTGATCTGGAACAAGAAGCTTATCAAAATACTTAGAGATCTCTTCTACTAATTCTATGGGTTTGTCTTTCTCAAGATCATTCATGTATAGGTTGAAGTTGAGGGAAAAAGCTTGGTAACCTTAATATGCTAATAGAATTTTAATAGAAAATTCAAGAATAGTGACCTTATCTTCCTTGCAGAGTGAGATTATCTAAGTTATTTTATCCTCTCCATCCTGAAGGTAATACTTAAGATTGATAATACTTTTATAAGTCATTTTTGTTTTCTAAATATAAGAAACCATAGTGAGAAAAACTCATTTCTATATATACATAATTTTTGGCATATACATACCTTCTTTTGCATTATTTTTTTCTGAAAATATTTTTGTGAAAAAGTTGACTGAACTTTTACATATCACTATATGCTTTATATCTTACCAGAAAAAAGATAAGGAGATAAGAATAGAGATTAGCATTATTATATGATGCCAAGAGCTCTATAAAAGCACATGCAAATGGATTCTTTATATCTTTTCACATGTAGATCTATCAGAAAGACATATAGTTAGCTTTACATCTGACGATTTCAAAATTACGAATCCCTCAACCTTTCATAATATATATTTTTGTCAATATTATTTACTTATAGAGTAGATCTTATGTTGCATGTAGTTTTTCTTTCATATTTTCTCACATTTGTTTAAAAAAATAAAAAACAAAGATTAATATATTTTTTTTGAATATATATGCAAAAATTAATATATCACACAAAATCCTAATTGATGATTCCTATTTTTTTGTCACACAATCTGTGACTCAGCAAAAAAATCTTCTAGACTTACTTTGGACTAGTTAGATTAGTAGAGTATTACCATTCTGCTTAATTGGCTAGTATTTTTTTACCAGCTTTTGATATTAAGGTGAAAATAATACCTCAAGTCAAAGATTGAATATCTAAAATAAAACTGAATTTTGATTATTAGCAATAGTGTCCTATCTATGATAATTACTAATGTAATAATAAAATCAGAAGACATTAAAGTTTTTACAAAATTCTCTATATAGATATTTGGATTTAGTTTATCTATAGCTTCTTTGCTGATTTTATAACACTTCTCAGATTAAAATATTTTAAATTAAAATATAAACTAGCAATTTCTTTAATAGATATATCAGTAATTTGACAAAAATCAAAGTCGAGTTATTAGAATCTTAAACAAGAGTGAATAACATTATAAATTGATTTTTCAGAATAATCTATGTAATTAGAGATATTTAGATATTCTAATCTATGGCATGAATTTATGATTGCAGATAAACCTATATTATTTTCTGATTTAAATCCTTTACATAAAGCAGATATATTAAGATACTTCAAATTTGGATATAATTTTGCTATTAGCTTTAGAATTTTACCTGTATAGTCCATACTTTTCTCAAAGTCTAAATGAATTACATTTGGAAACATGTGCACAATGCCTTTGATTTTTTTATTTAAAAGTCAGTAGTGTAAATTTTAAGATAAGTTAATTTTGAGTTATAAATTGGTTTTTGCTCTTCCCACAAGTAGTATACTACATTATATATTATTTTTAAAAATTTTTCTAATCAAGATTTATCTTTGACTTCATCCCTCTTTAGCTTAATACGTCTTCATAGAATAGGAACATCATATTTGTATTAAAGTTGACAAATATATAGAGTGGAATAGAGAGATTTATCTATTACTAAGAAATGTAAAATCTGTTCTAATACTTCTATTATATTAAAAATACTTGATTGTACTATAAATAATATATGCTATATCTTTAAACAAAAAATAAAATTAATGATAAGCACTCAATTTCAGATATTCATATAGCTTGAGATAATCAAATATACCTATAACTCTATCCTGTCTTTTATTCTTAATAGTGATAAGACCAGTTGTCCTATTATATATGTGATCATATTTAGTCAGATTGCATAATAATAAGTACTGTGTAGAGTTAATAGTAAACTTACCTGCAATTTTATACTAAATATTTCTCGATTTTTTAGTAATATTTCTCATATAAACTATGTTTACTTTCAGAAGGGTTTATATAATTTAATTAATCTGATTGGCATTTTTTACAGATAACTGAATATTTATTATATTAGAAAAAAAATCTTATAATTATGTAAATACTGTGATTTGCCTTCTCTAAATTGCATATATGCATCATATTATTAATCTGGATCACTGACATAAACTAGACTCTGTGATTTCAGTTGTAAAGAAAATAAGTAAGGCGTACATTTCCTTTGATATATTCCAAATTATTGTAAATTCAATCTACTATTCATTAGGATATATCTTCTAACTGATCCCATTCGAATTTTATTTCAATGAAACATAATGCACATTTATCTTCTTGAATATGTTTTAACATAAGAATAGAGGTCGGAACTGGTTATCGATATCAGATTTATAACCGGTTTTTATCGTATCAGATTAAAACTGGTTCAGAATTTTGTAAAATCGATAACCGATTATATTTAT